ATGATTTTTAGAGCTTACATTGCATGCCATATGCCCATGTTGTTCCTCTTTTAAGTGTGCTTAAAAGTTGTCTCTATGTGCCTAAGTGTTGGACCTTGCATGCATGCCTATTTGTATGTGTTTTGGCTTCCATTCTTGAGCATGTTGGCCACTGTTTTGAACCTAATAGAGGGCTGTCCAAATTAGTGTAAGTCCCTCCTTTGCACGTTGTAGCATGCTCACCTTGTGTGTCGATTGCATACTTGACTTACCATGTATTGTTGTTGCATGTTTAAGTGACACTTGCATTTGGCACGCATTTCCTTGACTAGGTTGCATAACATGTTGCATGCCTTACACACTTGCATGATTAGATTACATCTTGCATGTTGATCATTAGCATATTTATTACATGCTTTCATGCTTGCTAGCTTAGGTTGTGTGCCTAGCATATTTGTCTTCATGCTCATATTGCATGCCTAGTTCGCATGCCTAGGTTGCATTGCATTGGCATGCATGCCTTGCCTCTTGATCAAGTGATAGAGGTTGGGCCATTTGTTTGTTTAAGTGCATTTCATTTGACATTGAAATGGCACACTTGGTTTCTCGGGCCATCACACATTGAAATGCACGATTAATGGTCCGAGAATCGAGGACCATCCTCCTTTGAGTCATAAACATGATAAGGAGTGTGGTTGGTGCAAACATTGCTTGAAATGCATTGCCATGCCATGTTTTGCCCTCTGCTGCTGTCAAAATAGGTTCTGTAGGAAGCTTTGGCCGGCCGACTATCTATACTGCCGACTGACCAAATATTTGTGGCTGAGAGCTCCATAATTGGTCGATGACCAACTCCCTTTGGCCGGTGGTGATTCCCCTTGGCCGGTGGTGTTCCACGGTGTCCATGGAGTGTACCTTGGGACTTGTGCAATTTTCAGAGGAGCAGAGCAAGGAAAACAGAGGCAAACTTGTGCATGGAGTTAGATTTCTGAGCAAACCCGAGCACGCGCGCATTGGATCCTTTTCCCAAGGCCTTTACTGCTTTCTTAGCTTAGTTAATTTGCTTAGCTAGTTAAGTGGTCTGTGATATTTAATTAGCTTGTAGGTTAATTAATTTGTATTATTCTTTTGGTCCCTCCAAGCAAGGGCGAATTTGTAATAAGTGTGGGTGCGTGTGTGCATGTCTTCCAACCCCTACTTCTTTCTCCCTTTTACTTACCTGCTTTCTATGGTTAGTATTAGGGCATATTTACTTTAGCATACCTTATGCTATGCATGAGTGCATCGTTGTAACAAGCCCGCGGGGGACCTCGCTACAGCTCGGACTCGACTTTTCGTAGTCACGGTTCTAAATCTGAACCAAAGAGTCCAAATCCGGCAAATCGTTTTGAGAAAAACTGATTTTTCATGTTATTATAGATTAGCCGAGCCTATCTTAATTGCATTTTGCATGTGTTGCATTAGCCATCTTAACATGAACTAGGATCATGCATATGATTACTAACTAGTTTTTGTTTTGGCTCGGAGTACTCGGTAAGTTCTTATGCTTTAGCATCCTTACATGCGTGTGAGTGTTGCCATGACAGCATGCTTACCATGAGGCTAGCTGCTTATGTGATATAACTGCTTGAGTGCCTATGGATGGAGGTTGAATTACCTAAATTGGCAAAACCATCTTTTCTAAAAGCCCACCTGAGGGTAGCAAAATCTGCATTTTAGCCTACTTGCGAGTAGCAAACCATTTTTAAAATAAAACATGAAATGTTTTGTTCTAATTTAGGCGATTTGGTCTATACTTGTTTGCTGTGCGCATAACATAGTAATTCTAGGCTAATAACCGGAATAAGAGCATATAATGTTTTCAAAACAAGATATCATGGTTAGTAGAGGCCGATCTTTGATTGGGCGAGCGGGGGTGCTCATAGCTGACCTTCTCTAATCGTACCCAAGTTCCCGAGCCGAGGCAACTTTGGTGATGACGGACACCC